CTCCTCCTCCTCCCCCTCCTCCTCCTCCTCCTCCTCCTCCTCCTCCTCCTCCTCCTCCTCCTCCTTCTCCTCCCCCTAGTCCTCGCCCTGCTTTTTGTGTGGTGCGGGGCGCCGTGCGCCCGTGCGCCTCACCAATCGGCCCATCGGACGGGGTTGGGTTGGGTCGGGGGGGCGCGCGTCCTGCACGCGGGAGAGCAGCGCCGAGCCTGCGTCGGGGCACGGCACCCTCCCCTCCCTGGGGGGAGGAGCAAGGTGGGAGAAAGGAGGAGCGGTGAGGAGAGAGAAGGAAGCGAGAGTGTGCGGGAGGAAGGAAGAGCGAGAAGGGAGGTGAAAAAGGGAGCGGGAGGGAGGGAGGAGAGGGGAGGGGAGGAGGGAGGAGGAGGGAGGAGAGATGGGGGGTGGGAGGGAAGGAGGAGGCGAAGGGGGCGCTTCCTGCAATGAGAGGGCGCGCTCGTCTTTCGAGGGCGCGCGTCCCGGGGTGAGAAAAGTGCTTGCACGATCCTGCGGGGAGAATCGGGAAATACTGGTGTGGTGCCGGATCGTTGATGCATCCTGGTTAGACTCTGTTCCAGCATTGTTGATGCATCCTGGTTGGACTCTGTTCTTCCTCCCCCTCCTCCTCCTCCTCCTTCTCCCCTCCTCCTCCTCATTGAACGAGCCGCGCATGATGTTCTCCTCGCTGCCTGCCTCCTCATCGGACGCGGGAAAGTCTTCCAACATCCCTCCTGTGGGTTTGCGTTCAAGTGCGCACACAAGGAATTGAACAATCGCCGGTCTGGCCGGGGATATCTTGGGGCGATGTGCCCCCGGCTTCCCGGCCAGAAAACGCAAGAACCACGAGGGATGGGCGGGTGGGAAAAAATTGTGCTGGCAACAGCACTCCGCGGCACTGTCGATCTGCCGTTTCCCGACTTCGCGCCTGGGATTGCCAAGCCTCGCGCCTGCCCAGGCCCGCGAAATGCTGCCTTCTGCGGGCTGAGCCCACGGCCCGACGGCGGACCACCCAGCAGACAACGCCACGGTCCCCGAGGGACACCGGCGTGCACGAACAACGGGGAACCCCGTGCCACGCGAAGCGTAAACCTCCTGCTCCCTTGGAGCATCGGCGAATGAGACAAGCGAGCGCTTGCCGCTTGCAGAATGCAAGGCATAGAAGCCCCCAGAGGCCAAGAGGAGAAGAGTGGAATACAGAACGTGCTTCCGTCATCGATTTGGGAGTTGAGGAAAGCGTGCCGTACAGGTTCTATGGAAAGGGTGTCGGGGCTCGAGCGCTCCAGCGCCCCTCCTCCTACCTCTGCTTCTGCCCCTGCTGCTCCTCCTCCTTCTTGCAAACCACCAAGGGCACCAAGGGCCCCAAGAGCGCAGCGCCCAAGCGCGCTCCAAGAGCGCGTCAAGAGCGCCCCAAGAGGCGAGTTGTTGGGCTCACGAGGGGGGACCGTAATTGAAGCTCCCCTCGTATATATCTATATCTATATCTATATATATATATATATGCATGTACATGCTTATGAAATACATATGTATACATATGCACACGTATCTGGTTATGTACATATAAACATTGCCGGCGTGCCAGCACCTCCCCACCGGTGCCGGCCTCCCGCCCTGCCGGCACCGCCCCCCCCTCCTCGGGGTGCCGGCACCCGCTCCCCCGGTGCCGGCCCCCCCCCTCCCCTGACGGCCCCTCCCCCTGCCCTGGTGCCGGCCCCCCCCCCCGCGCCGACATTCCCCCCCCCCGGTGCCGGCGCTCACTCCCGGGTGCCGGCCCCCTCTCCCCGGTGCCAGCACCTCCCCCCCCTCCTCCTCCTCCTGCTCCTCCTCCTCCCTCCTCTTCCTTTTCCTCTCCTCCTCCTCGCTCCTCGTCCTCTCCTCGTCCTCCTCCTCCTCCTCCTCCTCCTCCTCATCCTCTTCCTCCTCCTCCTCCTCCATTTCCTCCTCCTCCGCCTCCTCCTCCTCCTCCTCCTCTATCCAAGCCCACACCACCATCACCACCACCATCACCACCACCCTCACAATCGTTCGTCAGTCGTCGCAGCAATTATCCCGCTCGTCGACGGTTGGTCGTCCGTTGTCGTCGTCGTCCATTCCAACACGCATCAGGAGCGCCCCGGATCGGCGGCAATGGCCGGAGGCCACTGCAATATGATTATGTGTATGATTTGTACAATAAATACCGATATGATTATGTACATGCATGTGCCCATACATACATACACACATACACACATACATACATACATACATACATACATACACATACATACATACATACATACATACATACATACATACAAACAAACAAACAAACAAACAACAACAAACAACAACAACCACAACACACACAAACATTTATACACACATATGTTATATATATATGTATGTATATTATATTATATTATATATATATATATATACATATCCAATACATATACATATATATATATATATATATATATGTATATATATATATTCTACACGCCCCCCCCCCCCCTAAACCGGACCCCCCCCCCAGGACACCCCAGACGCCCCTGCCCTCCACCCAACGAACGCCCTGGGCGCCCTTTTGGAGTCCTGGCGGCCTTCTGGGCAGTTGAACGCCCGTGCCGAGCGGAGCCCAGGGGCCCTCGACAGGCCCCAAGACGTCTCATCAGCGCTCAAAGAGGACCCAATTAGGTTTCAAGACGGCCCACGAGGCTCCCAAGACGGTCCAAGCGGCCCCCAAAGGGACCCCCAAGAGCCAAAAATCGCTTCATTTCCTGAGGAAACGTACGCTTTTGAAGATATTAGCTTTTTTCGCGTCCACGGCGTCCACGGCATCCCCAGAGACTCTCGAGATCGCCCCAGGACGGCCTCCGAGGCCTCTTATGAGCGGCCCAAGGCGGCCCAAGAGCTCCAAGACGGACCAAGAGAAGCCCGAGGCGGCCCAAGAGGGGCCCCAGAGGGCCCCGAGAACTCCCAAGAGAACCCCAAGAGAGCCACAAGAGGTCCCCAGGAGTGTCCCAAGAGGGCCCCCGAACAGCCCCTGGCCGGAGCCGGCCTACCAAAACGGCCACAAGAGGGTTCTGGGACGGCCCGAGAAGGCTCCAAAACGACCCAAAACAGCCCCAGAAGGAGTCCTCTGGTCCGGAGAGTGACCATGAGCTCAAAAGCGAGTCCGAACCGTTCCAATATAGCTACGCGCAGTTCTCTTACACTCCGCGATGCCGTAGTTCGCAGGATGGTGTTCCGAAAGGACCTCAGAAGCCCCACAAGCGTCCAGGACCCCTCCAGGCATTCAGGAAGCGACCAATCGTCGTCGCCGCCGCCGCCGTCGTCGTCGTCGTCGTCGTCGTCGTCCTACGGAGGAGCAGGTCTCGGCCTGTCATCGCGGGCCGCCGCCTCATTATTGCGTAGCCCGCTTACTGACGCTCCGAGCGCTCGCTCCCGCGGCCTGCCCAAGAGGAGGAGCAGGAGGAAGCGGAGGAAGAGGAAGAGGAGGAGGGGCAGGAGGAGGAGGTAGAGGAGGAAGAGGAAGAGGAGGAGGAAGATGAGGAGGAGGAAGAGGAGGATGAGGAAGAGAAGAGGAGGAGGATGAGAAAGAGGAGGAGGAAGAGGAGGAGGAGGAGGAAGAGGAGGAAGAGGAGGAGGAGGAGGAGGAGGAAGAGGGCGACGACGACGAGGAAAGGCCAAGTTTCTGAGCGCTTTTGGTCCCATTGGGAGCTTACGCAAGTGTTAGCAAGGTCCAGGGATAGCAGAAAAATGAGCCAGTCGCCCGTCCAGACCTCGACGCCCTCTCTGCTGAAGCACGCGATGACTTATTGCTTCTCCGAGAAGCGTCCAGAACAAGACTGCATTGGCGCGAAGCGCCAATGCAGTCTTGTATCTCTCTCTATATATATATGTATATACATGTACCGGAAGTTGGGGGGTGAGATCGCAGTGAAACGGAGACCCCGCACCGGGAAATCGGTTTCGGTTTCGTGTTCGTGTCGTGCGTGCGGGCGAGGCGAAGCTGCGCGTGATTCTCCTGTAGCTAGGCCGAAGTAGGAGCGAAAGTCCGTTTCCGTCCGCCGGTGGCCGGGAAGTGTCCCTGGTGGGCCGGGCGGTGTCCCGGGTGTCCCAGGTGTCAGTAGGAGCGTAAGTCTGCTTCCCGTCTTCCCGTCCGCCGGTGGCCGGGAGGTGTCCCAGTTGGGCCGGGCGGTGTCCCGGGTGTCCCGGGCGTCCTGGCGCTAACGCATGTCGCTAATTTCATAATTCATTTTTTTCGGCGCCTGCGGCGGGCTTTCTTATCCGATACAGCTTATCCTATCCAATCCATCTTGTCCAATCCAATCCATCTTATCTTATCCAACCCATCTTGTCCCATCTTATTTTATCCCACCCAATCCAAGCCACCCAACCCAATCCATACATTCATTTGTTTCTGCGCCTGCGGCGGGCCAACCCAATCCATCTTATCATTTCCAATCCACTTCTTCCAATTCAACCCATCCTATCTTATCAAATCCATCTTATCCCATCCAATCCGATCCACCCAACCCAATCCATACATTCATTTGTTTCTGCGCCTGCGGCGACCTTTCTTATCAAATCCAGCTTATCTTATCTTATCCAATCCATCGTGCCCAATCCCATCCATCTTATCTTATCCAGACCATACTGCCCCATCTTATCTTATCACGCCCAATCCAATCCATCCAACCCAACCCATCAATTCATTTGTTTCTGCGCCTGCGGCGGGCCATCCCAATCCATCTTATCTGATCCAATGCATTTCTTCCAATCCAACCCATCTTCTCTTATCCAATCCATCTTATCCCATCCAATCCAATCCACCCAATCCAGTCCATCAATTCATCTTTGTCGGCGCCTGGGCGCGATCGCGGCAGAGAGAGAAAAAGAGAGAGAGAGAGAGAGAGACAGAGAGAAAGAGAGAGATGAGACAAGGTGACAGGCTGGAGGTCAGTCAGGGTGGGCATTTGATGTCCATCCCCCCCCAGACTCCTTATCGCCTGCAGGGCGGTCGTATAGGTAGATTTTTGTTTTTTTGTTTTGTTTGTTTGTTTTTTTTGTTTTTTTCTTTTTTTGTTCTCTCTCTCTCTATTGTCCGCATTCTTTTCCGCCTCTTCCCTGCACGGGGCGCATGGGGCTGCTCCGCCCGCGGTGGGACCGCTCGCCCGAGCCGCTGCAGCCGCTGCGCCGCTGCGCCGCTGCGCCGCTGCGCCGCTGCACCGCCTCGCCGAAGGCCGCCTCGCCGGCGGGCGGGCCTTCGGCGAGGGCCGCCTCGCCGGCGGGCGTGCGGACCCTGCTGGGCGGGCGGGCGGGCGGGCGCGTCGTGGCGAATTTTTGGAGCTGGTAACTGGTGAAGGGAAGAGGGCTGAGCCAGAGGAGGAGGAGGAGGAGGAGGAGGAGGAGGAGGAGGAGGAGGAGGAGGAGGAGGAGGAGGAGGAGGAGGAGGAGGAGGAGGAGGAGGAGGAGGAGGAGTGAAGCGGCCCGTCGGCGGAGCGGCTCGGGCGAAGGGACTCCCGGCGAGACGGTTCTGCTCCCCACCTGCTGCTGCTTCTGCTCGTCCTCTGTATCCCTCTCCTGCTGCTGCTGCTGCTGCTGCTGCACTTCCTCGTCGTTCCTCCTCACCCCTTCCCCTGCGAACGTGCCGCTCCAGACCTCTCCTCCCCTTTCTCGTCCTCCTCCTCCTCCTCCTCCTCCTCTTCTTCTCCTATATTATCATCATCTCTCCTCCTCCTCATCCTCCTTCGTCCTTCGTCCTCCCCCTTTTTCCCCAGGAGCCCCACACGGCGCCGTTGCACAGCAGGAAGAAGCGATTGCCTCGCGAGCCCAAGGCGAGCAGCGGGGCGGCAGGAGGGAAACGAGGAGGAGGAGGAGGCGTATGAGGAGGAGGAGGAGGAGGAGGAGGAGGAGGAGGAGGAGGAGAGCGAGGAAGAGGAGCACAATTTTCAATGAGGATGAGATGGGTCATGATGGTGATGCTGATGGTGTTGAAGAGGAAGGTACGGGTGAGGAGGAATAATTTAACAATAGCGACGATGCCAACCACGATGAAACGTGCCAGAGAGAGAGAGAGAGAGAGAGAGAGAGAAAGAAGAGACAGAGAGAGAGAGATAGAGAGAGAGAGAGAGAGAAAGAGCGATACATATACACATAAATCAAGGCACACGCACGTCTGAGAGAGTGCAATTCACGGGCGCTCGCCTTGGGAACATTCGGCGGCGCGTTTCGCACCGGGGGGGTGGCCCCCCCCCCCACACTCGGCGCAGTCGATCAAAACCAGGGGGACTCCCCTCCCCCCGCAATCCCTCCCCCCTCACCCTCCCCCCCTCGGCGCTGGCGGCCGTCAGCAGCGCCGACGGCGGGGACGCAGCCACGATGACCAGAGGCAGCCCAGGGGGGGGGGGGGTCACCCCCTCCCCCGCGCGCGCTACGCGCGCGCTGAGGTTCTAGCCGACTGCGCACTCGTTGTCAATAGACCTTGCGCTGACCCACGAAACCCAAAGTACCCAGGGAGAGGTTCCCCAGGCAAGGGCCGCCCTTGCGTGGAGGTGCTGGGCCTTCTGGGGGAGCTTAGGGAGCCGTGCGATGATCGACGTGCGACGCGTCGGAAGGTTCCGAGTGTTTCCCAAACTGCGCAACTGCCGTGACTGCCACGGTGGCTGAGGAGGGCCCCAGAAGCTCTAGGCCGCCAGGCTGCCGCCGCCGCCGCCGCCCCCGCGGGCGCCGCCGCCGCAGGCGCCGCCGCCGTCGTCGCGATGATCGTCGCGGTGGTCGTCGTGGTGGTGGTGGTGGTGTTCGTCGTCGTCGTCGTCGTCTGTGGACGTGAACGGACGATTGCACGTTCCTGGGGCGTGTTTTGCTTTTCCGGGGCCTCCGAACTCTGGAAATCTGTGGGGCCTCCAGGGCCTCCAAAAACCTCCCGGGGCTCTGCTGAAACTCCCACAGGCCCCCACGAGAGCTCTTGAGGATAGCCTGGGAGGGCCCAAAGGGGCGCCAAGGGAGCTCCCAGGGAGGCCCCCAAACCCCAACAATTTAACACACATTTGACACGCCGCCGTTCTTGACGACGAAGCGGTTTGTGTCAAATTTGTATTAAATTTGGGACCCTCTTGGGGCCGTCTCGGAGCTCTGTTGCGCCTCTAGGGCCGTTTTACTGGGGTTCTCTTGGGCAGTCTTAGGGCCCTCTTGGGGCCCTCTTGGGCCGTTTCGGAGGGGCTCGGGGGCCTGTTGAGCGCTGGAAGCTCTAAAATTCGAAACTTTCCAGAACACGGGAAAACCTATGGAATATCATTAGTTTTTGCCTCTTGCGCCCATCTGGGGAGCGCTCATGGGAACCTCTTGGGCCGTCTGGGGGCATCTGCGCGCGCCTGGCCGAAGGCGCCCCCAGGATTTCAACAGGGGCCCCTGCCGCCTCCAGAGCGCCCTTCACGAGGCCCAGAGGGCCCCAGGGGTTCCAAAATTGAGCGAAAAACTGGAGGCAATTTGGGCCAGAGGCCCGTCGAGCAATCCCCGACCCAGACACGCCGCGTCGTGGCAAAATCAGGGCGGGAGGTGTGTGGCCGTTTTCGGTCCCTGGAGGCCCTCGCCGTGCCCCCGGACCGTCAAGGAGCGGCCCGGGATGAAACGCTGGCTCTCGGGAAAGGGTCAGGGCTTCCAAGGACCCCGCGTTGAAAAAGATCAGGACGTAGCATGTCTGGGCGTCGCCTGGTTTCGGGGGTCGGGACCCTGGCAAATCGATCTGGCTCGAAAAATGTGGCAGAAAGATGGGGTCAGGGGCTCCGGTTGCAATTTTTCGCTGTTGTGGATGAGGTTGGAGGATGGCGCCGTATCGCCAATGCATCTCAGATACATCGGCGATGCGTCGGCGACGTCGGCAATGCATCGGCGCCGTCGGCATGGAGAACATCGGGATCCACGTCGAACCGCATCGGCGATGTTTCTTGTTCGGCCCAGGACCCAGATCTCGGACGACCCTGCGATCTGGGCGTCGCATTTGTTTCACACTGTGCGTTTTCGCCCAGCCTCGGGGCTCCTGACTATCACGGATCGATCCGGCTCAAGAGATGGCGCAGAAAAATAGGGTCTGAGGCTCCAGTCGTGATTTTTCGTGTTGTCGCAATGTTGTCGCAACGTCGGAGCTCAGGCTTCTTGTGTGACTGTTTATTTCTTTCCCGGGTCACGGTCGTTATCCGAGGCGGGGGGGTCGGGCGGGAGGGTTCAAGGCAAAAGCGGCCGCGGCGTAGCCCCGTCAGGGTGCGTCCGCGCCACCAGCGCATCAATCGCCTGTGCATCCCCATCGTGTGGAGGGGGGTCAAAACCACCTCCCCTCAGTTGCGGGGCCCCCACAAAACCTAGACCCCCGCGGCGGCTGACGCGGACCATGACCAAGGTCGACATCAACAAATACCGCGACATCCTGGCCATGGTTTCCGTGTTTCTTGCCTCGTCTATGGGCCCTACTTGGGAGGCTCGGAGCTTGCGAGTTCGGACCGGACCGAGGCGCTGCCCTCTGCAAGATTACTCTGGGGCCTCGCAGGGAGCCCGGGAACATGAGTGCCGTCTGCATCGACAAGAGGAGGAGTAGGAGGCGCAGGAAGAGGGGAGGCGGGCTGAGGCAGGACAGAAAATAACGACATCGAGGGGGGTCATGGGGGGAAGCAGGAGGCGAGGGACGAGAAGTGATAACGTAGCCCTACTCAGCTGCTGCTCCACCCTCCCGTCTTCCCTTGGTTCTCCCTTGCTGTTCCTCCTGACTCTCCGCTTTCGTCACTCCCTGACTCCTACCTTCGGCTTTTCGTGGTCCATTGGTTTCGTCTCTCCTTCTCCTTCCCGAGCGCCCTGCCCCCCCACGGATGTGAGCCATCCTGGGCCATCTCTGGCACCGCTGTCCGGGGCCTGCAAGAAACTCCCAGGAGGGCTTCAAGACGGCTCAAGACGCCCTCGAGAGGACCGACGAGGACCACATGGCTTCCAACGATCCCCGATGGACCTGGACGTCAGGACGGACCACGGAGAGGCCCACAAAGCCACCGCGACAGGCTTAAACAGGGCCTCCCAGGAGCCCCCAAAGCGGCGTCAAGGGAGCTCTCACAGCGCTCCCCGAGCCCTGACAAGTTAATACGAATTTGACACAACACCGTCCTTGACGAGGAAGCGGTTCGTATAACAATTGTGTACATTTAAAAGCCCTCTTGGGCCCGTCTTGGAGCTCGCTTGGGTGTCGCGGGCGCGTCTAGGGCCGTCGAGGGGTTCTCTTGGGCCGTCCTGGGAACCTCGTTGGGGCCTCTTGGGCCATCTGGGGGCGGTCTTAGGGGCCTCTTGAGACGTCGTGGAGCGCCGGAAGCTCGAAAAGTGGAGACCGTCGAAACCACTTTAAAACCCAAGGAGCATCGCTTGTTTTTACCCCTTGCAGCCACCAGGGGGGCGCTGTTCGAGTCCTCTGAGGCAAGTGGGGGGCATCTGGGACGGAAGACTCGAAGTATCGCTTCGGGCTCCTGCCCTCGGGCCCCTCTTGGGACCGTCTTGGGGCGTCTTGGGCGCGTCTAGAGCCGCTCGGGGCCTTCTTGGGCCGTCTGTGGAAGCTCTTGGGGGCCTCTTGGCAGTCCGTCTCTGGAGGTCTTGGGGACCTCTACTTGGGGACGTCGTGGAGCGTCGGAAGCTGGGAAAGTCGAGAGGCTCGAAAGCGTTGAGCAACTTTCGAAAATCAATGATTTTTGCCTCTTGGGGCCCACTGGGGAGCGCTCGGAGAACCCTCTTGGGCCGTCTGGGGGCATCTTGGGACGGAAGGTTCGAACTGTCCTTTCGGTCTCCTGTTCGTTGGCCCCTCTTGGGGCCGTCTTGGGGCATTCTTGGGCCGTCTTGGGCCCCTCTTGAGGCCGTCTTGGGACCCTCTTGGTCTGTCTTGGGGCGGTCCTGGGGGTCCCTTGGGCCGTCTTGGGGCGGTCTGGGAGGCCTCTTGGGACGTCGTGGAGCGTGGGAAGCGCGAAAGTTGAGATCCCCAAAAACATTGAAACAACCAATGGTAAATCAATGGTTTGTGTATCTTGAGGCCCTCTGGGGAGCGAACATGGAGTCCTCTTGGGCCGTGTTGAAGCTGTCTGGGGCTGCCCGGAAGGCCCGCGGGACATCTCGCAGCCTTCTTGTGTCACTGTGACGCCACTTGCCACTTAAGGCCGTCTGGGCGGCTCTTCTTGGGTCGTCATGGGCCCCTTGTGGGGCAGTCTTGGGACTCTCTTGGCCCGTCTTGGGGTGGTCTTGGGGGTCCCTTGGGACGTCTTGGGGCGGTCTTGGAGGCCTCTTGGGAAGTCGTGAAGCGTCGGAAGCTTGAACATCGAAAATCCCCCAAACATTATGGCAAATCAATGGTTTGTGCATCTTGGGGCCCTCTGGGGAGCGAAAGTGGAATCCTCTTGGGCCGTCTTGAATCTGGGGCTGCCCGGAAGCCTGCGGGACATCTCGCAGCCTTCTGGTGTCACTGTGACGCTACTCTGGCCGTCTGGGCGGCTCGTCTTGGGCCGTCCTGGGCCCCTCTTGGGGCCGTCTTGGGACTCTCTTGGCCCGTCTTGGGGCGGTCCTGGGGGTCTCTTGGGCCGACTTGGGGCGGTCTTGGAAGCCTCTTAGGCCGTCGTGGAGCGTCGGAAGCTCGAACATTGAGAATCCCAGAAACATCGAACAATCAATGATGGTTTTGCCTCTTGGAGCCCTCTGGGGAGCGAAAGTCGAATCTTCCTGGGCCGTCTTGAAGCTATCTAGGGCTGCCAGGAAGCCCACCAGGAAATTATGAAGCCTTCTGGTGTCTCTGTGGCACCAGTTAACGCCGTCTGGGCGGCTCTGAGGTCGCTGGAGAGGGTCCCCAGGGAGCCCGGAGACACCATGGCGACCCGAGGCACCTGGGAGAAGGCCCCTGGCCCTGTGCCCATATATGTGTATAATTACAAACAGATGCATACATGTATATATGTACACATATATAGAGAGAGAGAGAGAGAGAGAGAGAGAAAGAGAGAGCGAGAGAGAGAGAGAGAGAGAGATGGAAAGAGAGAGAGAGAGAGAGAGAGAAAGAGAGAGAGGGATAACTATATATATATATATAAAGAGAGAGAGAGATAATGAGAAAGAGGAAAAGAGAGAGAGAGAGAAATAGAGATAAACATATAACTGAATAGAGAGAGAGAGAGGGAGAGAGAGAGAGCGAGAGAGAACAGCGAGATTGATATATATATATAGAGAGAGAGAGAGAGAGAGAGAGAGAGAACAACACACAATGAGGTAGGGGACAGAGGAGAAGGGACTGAGGAGGGAGATGTATGATGGGGATGTGGGGAGGGAGGGGGACGAGGGAAGGACAACCTCGTCTCATCGTTGTCGTCCTAACCCTTGTCCTCCTTCTCCTGTTCCTCCTCCTCGTCTTCGTCATCATCGTCATCATCAACGCCACCATAACCATAGTCATCGCCGTTGTCGCCATCTTCGTCGTCGCCACCACCATCATATCGTAACCACCACCGCCATCGAAATCAGTGCCCCCCCCCGCTGAG